TCTTACAACTTTTCACCAAGAGAAACTAAGTGGTCATGCAAGGAAACACCAGAAATTACATGCTTGAAAAGTAAGCACAGGTAAACACTTCTTATCCATGCAAGGGCTGGTGTTTGAGTTTTTGGCTTTTTTGGTTTTTTTCCAGGCACTAGACAAAAAATGGATCAACCAGAAACCATTTTCAAAATCAGTGTTATTCTGTGGTCCAAATGTCAAGTCACTATTAGATTTATAGCAATAAAATATTTATATATATTTATATAAAAAACCAACATGCACTGTACTGCTTAAATCCAAAATGCAATACATTCTCATGAGAGCTCCAAAGGGTATTTACACAAAAGGGTGATTCCTGCATTCCTTACAGGAATGGACAAGGCTAGCACCACCTCAGCAGGCTCTCAGATGAGCTGGGCTGAACCAAGCCAGTACTGGGAGGCTTCCTCCCAGAAAGGATGCTCTGCAGAACACATGGATGTACTTTTTGCCCACCAGATCATACCCACTTCAAGCAAGGCTCATTACCTGGAGGAGGAAAAATAAAGTTGCTGAGATTCTTGTTTCCAAAAGCAAAGAATATTCACTCTTTTTAGGTCTATACTTCCAATACCAGCTCACTTCCCTTCAGGAACAGCATGCTGCCACAAAATTCTTTATGGCACTGTTCCACCTCTCTAAATCTATCTTCAAGATGCAATGCTGGGAAGTTAAAAAGAGCATCAGAAAACCTGAAAAAGCCTTCCCTAACTTTAAGGCCCAGTTTTGAAAAATTCTGCCATACTTCTCGACACAGGGATGAAAGGGATTTGCCTCAGCACTCCAGCCTAAATGGTTCCAATACCTGAATCCTCAAGCTGCACAACTTGATCTTCAAAACACTCTGCACTCTTAAGTAAAACTGTCCCATTAAAAAAGCAAAACAGTTCATTAGAGCACTCCCCTCCTCCTCATAAAACACTTAATCTGATGTTAATTTGAGGGACAATAAATCTCTCGTGCAAAGATCTGAGGGTCTTTTTAATCAAAATAATTCCTTTTGGGTTTGGCTGTGATTCCCTTCCTTCCAGATGAGCCCAGCCAAGGACAAGGGATACAAAGGGCAATGAGACACCAACCAATCTAATTTAGCAAGAATAGAAACCAGCACTCATGTGCAAGGCAGCACATGGCAATCGCTTATGTGATAGACGGCTGTGTGGCAGTGCTTTGTACTCACATGCCCAGAACTCTCTGCAGCAGGAAAAGACACACCTGCACTGGGCTACCCCAGCAGCTGGAACCCTTGTAAGCCCCTGTTACAGCAGGAAATCATCTCTTCCAGGACCCTGAGGGAGAAGCTGCAGTCTCTCCCCATCTTGCTCAGCTGCTGGATACGTAGCTAGAGCCATCTTCTCTTTGCCCGATTCCTTCTCCCCAAACTATGGCTGATGGATCAGCACCTGCCCAATTCTGGACTGGCCACAGTCAGAGCCACCTCTGCCCACTGCCCTGCAGGAGGGACAAGCAGGAGTGAGACCAGGAGTGCTGCGGAGAGGAGAGCACAGTGAGGAACGGATGAGAAAGGAACGCAGAAATGATCCACAACTACTGCGGCTGAGTCCCCAGAAAGGGGACCACAGAAAACCATTCATTTCTTGAGGCTCAATGTGCACAGAGACATTAGTTCTTCTACTTCACTTTTCAGACAATGGTAACTCAGTACCAGACATTCAAAACTTGTTTTTTTCTGCTACACCAAAGCAAACATCTTTAAGCTACAGAGGTCAATCACCTTTTTGCACTTTCTTCAACACGGCTTGAACTGATGGGCAGCTATTTGTTAAGAACAAAATGTGGAATCACATTCAAAAACAAGCATCCAGCACTTATTTTTTTAAAAAAAGACTGCAAATAAATCTGCTTTAAGTCACTGGGGAATCAGCTTCTGAATAAAAGGTTCCTTGTAACTTTAGGCACATTTCCCCAGTTTTACATGCACATTGGTATCCACTAGGAATCCCAACAGATGGCTACCAAACTAGTTTGTGTGGTAACAAAGTTCTTGCTCTACATACCCTACAAGCTTCATACCTTCAGAATTACTGACACATTATTCAACTTCTACTTTGATGAAAGCTAAGCAACCATTCCTCCTGTAGCAGTGTTTTTCTAAATTTAAAATAAAAGAGGTTAAACTTAGCTAATGAACAGACCATACCAAATTTATGTCAATACCTAAACATCTGCTAAGAGCACTGTTTCTCAAAATGCAATCCACAAAGAGCAGGAAGCTTAGCTGCTGGCTTGCTTTCATTCACACCTGCCTAATTACATAAAAAACAAACCAAAAAAAATAACTCTAAGTATTTTTTCAAGTATCAATTTCCTTGCAACCAGGAGCTAGATTCACTACACAACTGTTTCAAAAATCACAAAAGCTGACTTGCACAGCCATCAGCTGGACAGTCCCCTAGGCAAAAGACTATGAAATGCAGCACACGGCACTTCTGAAGGTGTTACAGCTAATAAAAAATGTTCATAATTTTTGAAGACAGAAACACACCCAAGTTCAAGTCCTTGACCAAAGAATTTTGAATTACATACACTGAATGATTATTTAATATGATAGAGTGAAATTCCACTTGACTCCTACAAGGTAATACACAGGGCTACTGTGAAAAATATATTCACCACAGCAATACCTGCACTTTTTCATTTCTCAGTTTGCCATCGTCTTGAAGGAGACGAGCACCATTTGTCCCGATACTAAGAACAAGCTTCACATTGACCAAAATATTGTTATTTTAAAATCAGTTTGTAGCAGGAAGGTACTCTACAGAAAAGCATGTGAGAAATGAAAACACTATCTTCTGAAAAAGATTTAAATACCATGTTGTATGTGAGGCTTAGAGCTGCTGAAAAGTAGAAAATGAACAATTGCTTATTAACAGCAGATCAGCCACTCATAATGAGTAGGCTAGGTTCCTACATAGTAACACTCACTGTACTTTTATAAAAGAGCTTAAAAGCAACTTTAATTCTGGAATTCCCCAAGTCTGGGTTACTTTCATTATCAATCAAGATATTCTCTTAGAAGCCTGTTCACATATTTAATGCCCTGAGTAATAACTTTATGCAGACCTTCAAGAGCTAGACAACAGCTTCATTTCTATATGGGACTCCTGACTCAAATTAGAATTATGCCAGCATTTAGAGATACAGGATATGGGCTCCCCAACCTTCTCTGGAATAAGATAAATGAAAATATTTTGGCAAGGAAACAGTCCCTCACTAGCAGAACTCTTCTAAGAAGCTCTAGCAGTTTCTCAAATTGAAACATTGTATTCGACAGTACCAGAGTCCCTCACCTTAAAACAAGCTCTGCTTTTTGTTAGCAAATAAAATAAAGCTTGTCAATAAAGAGGTTTCCCTCCTGCTCAAAAGTGAGACCTCTGAGCAAACTTTAAGCATTAAATAGAGAAACACTGCAAACTGAAATTCTGGGTAGAAGCTCTTCAGCAGTTTCCCAAAGTACAGAAAGCTAAAGTTTCACACATACCTAAAAGCCTGCTGTCCTCGCAAGCGCCACTTCTTGCTGCATGCTCCCACCTCCTCCAAAGCAGCCGTAACTACTCTGTGAGCCAATTCCACTCAATCAGCTGCAGGTAAATTATGACTCTTCCCTACCCCCACAGTTATTTCGGTTTTCTCCTAGAATAACAAAGTCAGTCTGCCCACCAAAAGGTCAGACAAGTGTCAGGTCAGCACAAGCATGATGCTCCTACAGCATGAACTAACACCTTGCCTGTCTCATCCAGCAACCTTCAAAAGACTAAATGTTAAAACAGCCCAATTTCCTCTCAAAAGCAAATGGGTCTTCTCCAGCTCCGTTATAAATGACAAGAAAACAAACCCAGCTGTGTCAAATGCTTATTAGCATTAGTTTTGTACGTGTATAGGAACATACGTAAATACAATTAGGTGGAAACAAGTGGAAAAGGCAATTCCACACAACTACCTTGCTCTATGGATACGTCACTGAACTTCTCCCATTCAATTAATTAATTTTAATTAATTAGTTAAATGCTTAATTTAGATGCAAAAACGGTCGAGTGCATATAGTTCGTATTCCCTTGGTGCATTTAAATGCAGCATTTCTGAAATTCAACCATATTTCCATCTCTGAGATTAAAAGAAAAAGTTAGGTAGCAACTTAAAACAGTTTCTGAAGAGACCAGTTTCTGAAACGATTCAAGACCAGTGCAAAAAGCAAGTGGAATTGAAAACCACAAAATTAATCTTCCCAAACCCAGAAGCGAGTTTCAAGATGCTGTCAAAACACTCACCCCCACCACTTTGTCCCGAGCACATGATCAAAGTGACAGTCACAGTGGCATCCTCTGATCTTCTGCCATGAAGTGACCAAACTGTGTCTCGTAATTTTCACAGTGCTAAATCCTGCTCATTAATTCCACCCGAAGAAGAGAAATCTCGTCGATTTCTCTTAACAGGAAAAAAAACCAAAAAAACAACAACGCCTACTACCCTGTCACACTCAGGGACTCTCACCCCTATACACACTTCTGCACACTCTTGGGAGAGTGTAAGTTTATTCTGACAGCAAGCAGAAGCTCCCCTGTATCCCCTTCCTGGCTCACACCTCAGAGCCTGCAGGCGGGGGTCACCCGCGGAGCCAAACCCACAGAGCCCTGCCCTGTGCCCCGAGCTGCCTCCACAGCCCCGGCTCTCTGCCCAGCCCCGCCCGGGTGAAGCCTCCCCGCGGCCAGCTCCCCGTGGGACTGCGGGAACGGGCAGGAAAAAACGTCTCTTGTTTAGCGTTTTTGTTTTTTCCAAAACGGGGCTCTTCTCTCGCCCTTTGCTGGCCACGGAGGGAACAGGTTCGGCGTGCAGGGCCACATGCCGAGGGGCGCCCCCTCCCAGCAGCAGAGCCCCAGAGGGTTGGTTTCCCTCCCCCGGCGGCCGGGCTTGCGGGGCTCGTCCGCTGCCGCTCTCGCACCCACCTTTCTGCGCCTCGGTGCCCCGCAGCAGCAGCAGCAGCAGCAGCAGCAGGAGGCTGGCGCGGAGCAGCGAGGCCGCCCGCCGGGTCCCCGCGGGGATCGGCCGCCTCGGGCTCACCATGCCCCGCGGCGTGGCCGGCGCGCCCGGCGGTCGCAGGGCATCGCGGGCTGCGGGGCGCCCGCCCCGGGCCGCGTCTGAGCCCTGCGCGCCCGCCAGCCCGCCCGTCCCCCGCGGCCGCCCAACCGCTTCCGGGGGCGCGGCGGGGCCGCCCCGCTTCCTGCCGCCCCCTCGGCCCCGCACGGCCAGCCCCAGGCGCCGCCGAGCCCCGGGCGGCAGCGGCGGCGGCTCCGGCGCGGCCCCGCCGAGCTTGGGGCCCCTCCGCTCCCGCCCCGAGCCGCGCCCTCCCGGGCGGCCTGCGCGGGGCTCACGGCCCCAGACCGAGTCCTCGAGAGCCAGCCCCTGAATTCCCGCTCTGTTCCACCTCCGCCCTCCTCTGCGAGCTGGCTACAGATATTGCACTTTTTTCAGCTTTTTTTCCCCCCTCCCAAAGTGGAGATTAAGGCAAAGTTTCTGGGAAAAATGCAAACAAAAGTCCTTGGAAACACGAATATTGCTGTTGTTAATAGAAAGGACAATCCGGTGTCATAGCGCTCCACACACAAATGTGAATTCAGCACTAGATGTGGGAGGGCTTGGCTATGAGGTCCCAAGCTTTAGCCCTTGTCCCCCCGCTTTTGTGTATGCACCGTGTGTGATTGGAGTTTTCACTAAAGGCTGAAGACAGCTGTGGGAAATAAATACTTAAAAATCTTTAAAAAAACCAAAACTCTCAAGTCCTAAAATCATGGGATTTTAACCACTGTTAGGATCAAAGAATCACCTTTCTAATAACCATCATTATGGAAAGGAACGCTTTCTACGTGTTTTTCAATGGTAGATGAAAAGAATGTGATTTTCAGGTGCTGATAAAGCGTCATGTCCATGCTTCCACAGCTGCAGTCACAACCCAGATTCCTCCCAGCAAGGTTTTAGGGTCAAGAGGAAGGGTGGGAGCCACACCTACACAGACATCATTTCACATTTCCCTCAGCTCCATGACTGAAGCACTCAGCACTCCACAGACCCCGCTGTCTCTCACCACAAAGCAGAAGGGAGCTGGGACTCCCCAGCTTCCAGAGATCAGCCTCTCAGCCAGTACAGACCTCATGGTTCATCCTTTCTGCTGTGCAAGACGTGTGTTACACGTCAATCCCTGCTGGCATCCAGATCCAGTGGCTGCACTGTTGAATGTGTCTTTAGGAAGAAATTGTTCTCTTCCCAAACAGCTCTGTGAAACAAATACTGCTTCCTGGCCGGGAGTGTCCAGTGCTGACCCCACCAAAATAGCAGGAAAACTATCTCAGGAGCCAGTCTTTCCCAGTCCAAAGAGTTGCTTGAAGAAGTATTTAGATTATGTTTAGTAATTGTTTTAACATTAGTATTCCTTATTAAGATGCTGAAAACCGAACTATGTCCAAGTCTATGCTTACAGGTTATTAAGGACTTTGTATAAGTGCTATTATAGCCTGTTGACAAAGAAACATGGAGGGCATTACCTCTCCTTCCTTGAGCGTATCATCTATGCCACTTGTGCCAAATCACAGAAGATACGAGAATAGATTTGGTTGCTCAGACTAAAGACAGTAAAATTTTGTTGCACATTTTTGTTTGGCCCATACTTGTACCACAGCTCCTAGGAGGTGGCTTCTCATATAATTAGGGAAGGATAAACATGAAGATTTTAGAACATTTCCTATATTTCCCACTTTTGAAACCTTTTAATGACATGAGAAGAGACCCCAATGAATGCAAAGTGTATCACAGATGAATCTTTTTAAAGTCATCTTGTAAGATATAACAGCCACCAAGACATCCTGCAACACATAATGGAAGGTGAATCAAAAATAATTTATATACATTGCTTTGTTTTCCATTCACCAGACACAGAAGTTCATGCCATAGGTCACATGAAGCAGTTATATCACTACAATAACATCCTTTCTGTACTACAGAGACCACATTCCTAAGATCACCAATCACTGGTAGTATTCTCTGTGTACTGGAAAAATCACTCCTTGAATAGAATAATTTGTGCCTCAGTGGTGCCATGCATTAAGCATCTGAGCATCCTACACGTAATTCAGTAACAGTCTCTGGTGAACCTGACAGAGGTTTCCTCCTGTGTTATGTTCTGTTGTCAAGGTATTTTGTGAACTCGATTTGACTATTCTAAAGGGTTTATTTATGCATGTAAAAACATAGTATCTGAATCTGTGAAAGGGTTGATTCTAAATGGGGTGTGAAAACTTGCAGAATTCTTAAGAGTAGCCAGAGGCCAAATTTCCCTAATCTGTCTTGGAAGTTTATCCCAAAGCTACATTCCCTGACCACAAATGGGTTTTGGGGACCCTAGCTTACATATTTTGAAAAGGGAACACCACCATCCAGACAGACTCAATGACAAACTAGTGAAGGTTATGCACCTTAAAAGACTCAAAGATTTATAGAATCTGCAGAGCCAAAGGATTACCAATGCAACTGTTTGAAAGGCTTGTCTTAATACATGGTTTTCATGCAATAGAACAATCTGAAGAATCAGATAAATCCAGATGGTCACTACGGCTTTCAGAACCTTCCTTCTGAGAAGATTCCAGCACAAAATGAGTTTAGGTACACCAGCTGCAGAGTACTGCATGTTTTGATCTGCGAGAGTTCCCAGGCAGCTCCTCTGGGGAAAAAAATTGTGTAAGAAAGACTCAATTTTAGTTTGTGACTTACAACTGTCACTGTCATCAAATCAAAACAAATACAAAATTAAAATACTGTGGGAAGCAAACACAAATATAATAACATATGATACCAATCTCGTAAGGCAAGTTTCCAGCACCTCTTACAAAATCAGCACAAATACTGTTTTTTAAATATGGTAAGACAGAAGACCAAAGCAACTCCTTAGTGTTGTTAGAAGAACATTTAGCCAACTAAGCATTTCTGTAATGTTTCCTTCCCATTGAGAGTAACTTCTAGAGGTAACTGAAACTATCATCTCCATCTGGTTCTCTCATTTCCCTCGAGAAGCTTCTGAGCACTGGGCTTCTTTCCCACCACAGCTCTCTAGATTTTACATTCTTTTGTTGCATTTCGAAAGCTTAATTCAGCTGAAGGGCAGGGCTGCTATTCAGGGAGCTCCACAAGAGCAATTCCAAGGTCTGCATCCGGGGAAGAACAGCTCCATGCAACAGCACAGTCTGGGAGCTGTTTGGAAGCAGAAAAGGACCTTGGTGTCCTAGAGGACAGTTTGAATGTGTGGCAGCACTGTACCCTTGCAGCCAAGATGGCCAACAGTGTCTTGAGCTGTATTAACAAGAGGGCCATGGGAATGATCTTTCCTAACACCTCATCTCAATACTGTCACTGCTTTGGGGCTCCCTCCAGTACAAGAACAATATTGACACGTGGAACAGAGTCAGTCAAAAGGCCTCCAAAACAGTCAGGGGCTGGAGAACATGATGCACATAAAGAGGCTGATAGGGCTGGGTATTTTCAGCTCTGAGAAAAGGAGACCTTGTCGCTGCTTACAGCTACCTGACTGCAGGGCAGGACTGGGAAATGGAACCAGCCTCTCCTCATAAGTGCACCATGATGGCACAAGAGCCAACAGACACAAATTGCAACACAGTAAATTCCATACTCTAAATAAAAGGGAAAAAATATGCCATGAGGATGGTCAAACACTGGACTGAGTTGCTCAAAGATGTTGTAGAACCTCCATATTTAGAGATGTTCAGGACTCCCTTAGCCCTGATCAACGTGATCTGATGAGACCTGTTTGAGCAAGGAGCTGAACTTGATAGCCCCTGAAGGTCCCTTCTGACCTGTTACGACTGAATGATTCTAAGGCACCAACCGGTGTGCTATGGGTTAAAGTCCTATAGTTCCAGGTGATGTTCTAGAACCTAGCTTTTGTTGCTCTTGGCTTTTTTTCATCTCATTTGGGATTTCTAGGTTTTGTTATAGCTTTCAGTAAAAATTGTTCTAATCCTCTGTTCTCTCATTTTTTTCTTTGCTCCAATTTTTATTGCCTGTTATTGCTGATTATTTTTTAAGAATAACAACAAAGTCTTAGTTGCAGAATGGGTTTAAATTCATCCTTTTAGAGAGGAAAACAGGTATTGATTATATATTAATCAAATCAATGTACATAATCTCATCCTCAGAAACACATTTATAAAGCTACCATGATATATTTACCTGAGGTTCATTATTACTTCAGATAGGAGCCTCATGATTGTACATAAAGCACATTTATTTGACACTATAGAGTTATTTGATTGCTGAGTCGTTTGTGTTTTTAAAAGAGCATAAACACTTAACATTTAATTCTGGATTCTTTTAGTAAGAAGCATGTATTAATTGTATTGTGCTGAAAGTCATTATCTGGGGAAAACAGTAGCATGAATTCCAAGAATAAATTTTTTTTACATTTTTACTGCACTGTATTTATGAAACAATTCAGAAATGCTGGTGATAAAGAAAGCAAAAAAGAAACCAAAAAAAACCCAAGAAAAAAAACAGCAAAAAAAAGCGCTATTTTTTTTCTTATTTAAACACTGTAAATAGAGAAGGAAAATATTAGGGAGGATCTCTTACTGTCCTCTATTGGTTCAATGCCCAGTCACTAAGATCCTTCAAGCAAATACAGTTGGAAAAACATTAAAGACAAATTGTATCTTATAACTGTAGGTTTTATACATTTAAATAAAAACAGTATTTCAAAGTATTGAGCAATTTAAATTCTCAGGATACAGTGAATCCTATGGCTCAGTGAAAGCTGAAGGAGAAGTCTATGATTACTATAGGATTAATTAAGCACTTAAGCACAGGTAAAATTTTACTGACTAGCTTCTGTGGGAATTAAGAGCATATTTAAGTCTGTATCTATTTTGCTTTATCAGGAACTATGAATTTTCTACTTTAATTATTTCCATACATTTCCTTTCTATTTTATAGTTAAGATACTGTTCTTCACATTCTCTTCAATGTATTATATTTTCATCAGGATTTAATTTTGTCCTTTAGCT